ATAGGGCGTACCAATCTTACAACCCACAAAAAGTATTGTTGAACTAATCCCTGTCATATAAGCCTATATTTTTGCTCATGAGCAAATACAAAACCGTGCTCAGCATTCCCACTCTGGCCACTTTTAAACACCGTTGCTCAAGGCCATCGACGACGAATCCACAAAGGATAAAACTGCTATGAAATCAACAGACAGATGAGGTACCACAGTTCCTACATGGATAATGTTATGGAGACAATTCATCTAGCAATACGAGCATTTGGTAGAATACTCGCCTTGTCAGTTAGAGAATCATTATTTCGCCCGTGTTGCGTTGAAGAAAAACTGAGTAATGTACAACTCTGCCAGGAAGAAAATGAAGGTACGTATTACTTTTGCTCCATGAGTTATGAGATAGTTAGTAATGGTTGGTCGCATCTACATCCTTTTGTGTGGATTCCAAGACCGAATAAGCAAAAATGTTATAGGCAGTGACTTTGTCGAACAATGTGTAAGCGAAATTTGACGAGACACTCTAGGCCACTAAATGTAGACGGCAAAAAATGCAGTGATATGAGTTCGAGACCTCTGAAAAAACCAAGGAATGGAATAGGTTGAACAGACTAATTAACTCAGTCCAGAAATAATACTACAGCGATCAAACCAGTGATACACGTACGTTTGTAACAATGTTATTATAGGCTAGCATGGTTATCCCATTGGGAGCTTGCCATCAACATTGATCCAAGAAACCAGGAGACATGATGGTTTGAGGCAAATTCTATGTATACAGTTGGGATAGCAGAGAGCATACGTATATTAAAATAAACAAAGTCAAGGTAACACGGTGGAGGAAGTGGGCATACAAAGGTGAATGGGAAAACAAGCCAGAATCTCAAAATGTGAATCAATACCAACACGAAGCGTTTGAGGAAATTCAAATGAATAGTCCCAGTGATGCCCCTTGTAAAAAGTGTCGAAGTAATAAGGTAACCTGAAGTTTTTCAGAAGACGTATGAAAGTCCCGAAATCTCTGTTATTCCATGGTCGGTTTTCGTCGCACAGCTAGTTCAGGAAATTCAAAATGAATCTACAGCATTTAAGTCAATAAGCACGCACCAGACCGAACGAGCTGCATCCCAATCTAAACCTACGTGATAATTTCACATCAATGCAAGGACTAGTCCAACCGCCAATACAACTAAGGAAGGAAAATGCAAAAAGCAAATAGTTGTAGGCCATGAAATTCTGACTGTTAGTAGAAGGCTTCAGGTGTTAGAAAAGTGCATAACTATCGAATGCAAAAAATAAAAAAAAAGGGACTAGCGGGACGTACCTCGTAGGGTGTAGCAAAGGCTAGCAACTTTGGGGGAGAAGGATGACGCCTAAGTCTAGCAATTGGTACTGTCCATGTCGGCCACAAATGTGTTACACCATTGTGCCCGGAATCAAGCCAGGTTAACGATACGACCTGAGAGGTTAGACGAACATCAGAGAATTCAGGTAGATCAAAAAATAATCCGATCTCGTAAAGGAGCTGCGTGACAACGGAGCCACCCTTCGAAAAGCCAATGATAACACAGGGTAACTCGAAGGAGGCACCATCAACAGCAGCAGCTGCGTTTTTCAGCAGAGCATCGAGGTGACGCCAGGCGGAAGAGGTACCACCGACGCCGTGTATACCCGAGTAGTCTGGCACACCGCTGCCAGTGTAGCGCACAAAGTTGGTGTAACATGCGAAGGTATCCAGAAGCCACTGTGAGGCACGCACTATCCACAAATGTACTCCTGAGACAACTTCAAGGCGATTGAGAAGAAGACTAGCTACGGCTTCGAAACTCCAGTTCTCGGCAAGACCTCCAAACTGCGGATGGGCGGACATAATACTGTATTCATTCTGTCAGAGTAGACAATAAAAAATAAGTTTGCTACACCCATGGTCCTTCCAGATTCTTCTGACTGAAAGCCAATTGCCTACAATCATACGTGTAGCATGTTG